GGATTTTTGTTTGCCTATTTTTCATGTTTCGTCCACAACCCCCCTGTAAGAGGGGGAACACGCCGGACCTAAGGCTTGCAGCCTCCGGCTCGGCGGGGAGCCGCCGCCCCCCAGCGCAGGAACCTCAGCCTGGGCGGGACGTACCTCAACGGCGTGCTGGTGCACGGCGAGGCCGGGCGTCGATTCAAGCAGTGGCGAAGCGTCCCAGCTCACCGATAGGCTTACCAACGAATGTTCTAAGGGCCTTTTGTGGTCTAAGGGCCTCTTGTGGTCTGCACGAAATGTGCTGAGAACAGTTCTGGCTGAGACTGTCTTGTTTTAGCACATCGGGTTTGTGTTCTAAGAACCTTGCTTTTGTTATTCGAACATTTCTGGATTAAGAACATGTCGTGGTAGGCCTATAGGAATGCCGGGACGGTCGGTCCCTGCGCAGTCGATGGTTTCCACGGCAGCTCGTCAAAGAGTTACAGCCAAGACGCTTCTAGGTTTTGCCATCCTCTCCCCGTTTCCTCTTCACGTCGCTCCTGCCTATACCGGTTCGTCCCCCCCTCCTTTCAGGGTCCCGGTTTTCATCGGTGGCAGCGCCTGGCGCCATCGCTCCCTCTTCCCCAGCACGCACGACCTCTCGAAGTTCGCTCGGTCGAGGTCTCCCGAGTTAAGCCTTCCCCGTTGGCGGGAAAGCTGCCTGGCCGAGATTGGATTTTGATGGGCAGCCTTCGAAGGTGCTGAGACAGCCCCATGCACTCAAGACGCTGAAACAAGGACCACATCAGGCTCAGGAGGGGCTCTGGCTTACCGTTAATTGAATCTAGGTCGGGGGACCTCTTCGTGACCGAGGCTTGCCGTGGCCAGGAAAGCCTCTTCGTTCCTTGTTCGGAGTTTCATTTGGTAGCGCGATGACTGTGTCCTGAGCACTCAGAAGGGGCCGAGAGGGTCAGCCGTCCCCAGGTCTCAGATGGAATGTTTGTGAGATCTCCCTAGAGGGGCCTCCACGTACAAAAGGAGCCATGTTCTCGTCGACCGCTTCCTTCCAATAGGAGCGGAGTTGGAGTTGGATGGAGTGGACGGGCAGCAGCAGAGGGAAGATGAGGACGACGACGACGACAACGAAGGGTGAGGACGACGAGGAAGAGTATAATCAGAGATAAGGTAGGGGGGGCACACTCGGCACATCGCATGAGAACTTGGCTTGCCAACGGCTGCCCCACAAGAAATGATTCCCTCCCGATCGGTCCGCGGGATACGGGGATGCCCTACCGAAGCGCGGAGTCCACGAAGCGTGGGCCCCCAGATCTCATGCCACAAGGGGGGGGCGGCGAGCCCCGAGACCGCCAGACCGCCGCCTCGCCCGAGACCTCCCCACAGTGCCTTTTTTGTTAGGAGCCGTGCCCTCGCCGCACCGCCGGCCAGCGCTTTGGCCCTCCTGCTCCTCCTCCTCCTCCTCCTCCTCCTCCTCCTCCTCCTCCTCCTCCTCCCCCTCCTCCTCCTCCTCCCCCTCCTCCTCCTTCTCCTCCTCCTCCTCCCTCCTCCCTGGGCGGCAGCGGCACTCTGCATCAGAAAGATGCACACACGGCTGTGCTTCCACCCCGGTGCCGGCTGCATCCACGCGTAGAAAACTCCGCGGGAAGGCTTGGGAGCTCACGCTCTCCATCGCCGGCCTCTTGTCTCCTGGACCCGAGGAGCTCGTCGACCGGCTTCTTCACCTCTTGCTGCTGTCCGCCTGCTGCAAGAGCGACAGGATGACAGCCTCGATGGAGGAGTCCTGTTCGCTCGGGAAGTGCGGCTCTCAGTCGAGCAGCGCATTCAACGGGCCCACACAAATGAGGATGCCCATACGACACCTGGCAATTTGCAGATCAACACTGCGATGATGATCACGATGTGCACTGGTTGTGATCCATCCGCTTTGGGATGCAACTCGTGGCTGACGAGTCCACCACGTAGGTTGGAGGCGGCACAGCCAGCTGAGGAGCCAGCGTTCTTCGTCCATCCCACCGCATTCGCTCCACAGGTGCCGGGCACGCGGGTGGAGCGCGCCGCACAGCGCACACCTGGTGTGCTGGCTGATGCGGGTCTGGCTGCGTATGGCTCCACACCGGAAGATGTTCAGAGCCTGCTTCTCGGCGGCCGGCAGGCTCTCCGAGAATTTCTTCCACCGGGCGTCGCTGGAGGCCTCCACGTCGACCTTCTCCACGCCCTCCACGTCGTTGCGGCTAGCGGCGCGCTACTGCAGACAGCGAATGCGGCACACCAGCCTCGCGCAATGCTGCGCTTCTTCGGACCGCGTCCAGAAGTAGGAGCGCCCCTCGCGTACACTCTCTGTGACCTTCCGGACCCTCGGGTCGTCCCCCGGGAGCACCTCCAGGCACAGGCCAAAGTAAGGGTCGTAGTCTCGGAAGCCGAGCCCCAGCCGATCCACGGCGGTACGTATCTGCGTCTCCACATGGGGACTCCAACAGAATTCAGGATCAAGAACCACCTTGAGTCCGCGAAGAATTGACCCGTAGAGCGGGTGTAGGTAGAGTCTGGTGGCCCACCAGCGGCCCCGGCACCAACAGGAACAGCCAGTGCGCAGCACAGCCTTCATGACCAGGGGCGTGATGTCCGGCGGGGCGGCGCCACCACAGGTGCTGGCCACAGCCACATCGGCGAAGCGTAAGCCGCTGTCAGGGACTCTCTGACTTTGGCGGACCCCGGGAGCGTGCCCAGGCGGCGTAGCGTCGTTCGCACGGGGCCCCACCCGAAGCGAGGCTCGATGGGCTCCTCCGGGGAGCCCGACACAGCGGAGATGCCCAAGTGCTCAACTCGTTCACCTCCGGTCTTTGTCCAGTGTTGTCGCCTGCCAATGTTCTCAGCGAAGTTGGCGGCCTTGTCGAAGTCTTGCGCGTGCACGAGGGCATCGCGGAGCTTGGTGCTGGCCGCCGGCGCGCCGACGGTCATGGACCTGTCGTCCATAAAAGCGACTTGGCATCGCTCGGACGTGTGCATTTTTTCTCGGCGAGAACCATCGAGGACCATCCTGGACCATCGAGCAAAAAAGACACGCACGAAATCGAAAAATGCACGGGATATGGACGTCCGAGCGACGGCAAGGCGAAGGGTGTCACGTCTTGGGGCTGCCACGGGGCCAAGGTGGCCACCATGCCGGCCGGCGCGTCGGACCCGCCCCGCGGGAGGCTGCAGCAGGGGCGGATTGGGGCAGAGCTCAGCGCCCCCTCCACCCGGCAGTGCTGGGGGCCCCGCCAGGAACACCTGAATAATTAGATTGCAGGTGCCGAGGCCAACCTTCGCGGTCCAGGGCCTCTGTCGCCAGCAGGTGGTCAATTCGGTCGAACGTTTTGGTGAGGTCCTGCTCACAGCCTTCTTCAGCAGCCGCCGCCGCACTCAGCCAAGAAGAGATGGCGTGTACCACGGAGACTCCTGGGCGCGTGGCCCACTGCGTGTCCACTGGGTGGGGCGCGATAGCCGCGCAGGCACTGAGCCACGTCCGTACGAGGTATGACGTCACCGAGATCGAACGGGAGGCGTCGGCGTCTTGGGCTTGGGGATTCCCAACACCCGCCAGCAGAAGAGGAAGTCGACCAGAGCCTCTGGGAGGCCCGCCGGGTCACCAGCGGCGCGTGTGGTTGCCACCCACAGCGTGTAGAGCTCCATCTTCAAGAACTCGAAGTGCCGTGTCAGGGCTTTGACCTCTGCGCCTGACCAGCCGTCGAGGCCCGCCGCCCCGCCGCATTTCTGGAAGGCGGCAGAGAAGCCGTCGTAGTCGGGGATCCAGTCAGCCGCAACCCCACGCTGCGGGAAGACGGCCTTGTCCGCGTAGGTGCACCAAGCTGCCCGGATGGCCTCCGGGTTGTAGTCTGGCGGGTTCCAGATCGGCTCCCTGTCCGCCCGCATGGAATCGGGGGTGAAGGTAGGCGCCTCGGGGCCTGGCTTGATGACAGGGCCGGCGGCGGCCCAGGTGTCCCGAGTGATCTCGGTGAAGCGTTGTTTCCATTGGCGACCGCGGGCGTCCGCTCCCTTCCGCTCCTCCTGAGTGATGCTGGCATTGATGATGTCGACTGCGGCGGCGTACGTCGGCCACAGCAGCCGGGCGTCGGACCACTTGGCGTGGAGGGCTCCCTGGCGGGCTGCCACGCCGAAATCGTGCAAGTGCTTGGGGGACAGGCGCTCCGAGTCCACCCCCGCAGTCTTCCCGTGGGTGAACCGGCGGTGTAGTTGTCGCAGCTGTCGAAGAGTGATCGCTTCATCCATCCGGTGCTGGGCCGAATCGGCGGACCGACGGGACTCAGGCGGGGAAGCTTGCGGCCGCTCCCCAGTGCGAGTCATTTCCATGAAGTCCCGGCTGCACGCCAGGCGGGCCGAGCGTGCCACCGCTTCCACCTGTCCAACAACGGGAACGAGGCCTCCAGGACAGGGTACTCGGCATCGACGGCGGACTCGATGTCCCCCGCATCGGCCGGGAGCATAACAGCATTGTCATTCCAAGTGTAGAAAGCTATGCGTTTGAGGCGCTCCTGGGCGGGCCGCGGCGGCAGCGGCACGTCCACCTCGAAGAAAACGCGGATCCAGCTGTGGCGACGAGATGCCTCCAGGAGGCCCACGAGGACGAAAAGCCCCGGGGAGGGACGCTGTTGCCGCCGAGGGCCACGCCGTCGCCGGAGCCGCCAGCGCCGCTTGGCCATAGCCACCGCCCGAGGAAGAGGATGAGGAGGAGGAGGAGGAGGAGGAGGAGGACGATGAGGAGGAGGAGGAGGAGGAGGAGGAGGAGGAGGAGGGAGGAGGGAGGAGGAGGAGGAGGAAGGAGGAGGAGGGAGGAGAGGAGGAGGAGGAGGAGGAGGAGGAGGAGGAGGAGGAGGAGGAGGAGGAGGAGGAGGAGGAGGAGGAGGAGAATGAGGAGGAAGAAGAGAAAGAGGAAGAGGGAGAGGGAGGAGGAGGAGGAGGAGGAGGAGGAGGAGAATGAGGAGGATGAGGACCAGTGTAAGCCCTAGGCGCATCAACGATGTTGAAATCAAGCCTCCCTCCAATTTCCCTCGTCGCACCTCAATCGCACCAAAGAACCATTCCTGAGACTTCAACGCCGCGGATAAACGTGACTGCTGCGTCCTGACAATCCCTAGGCTTGCAATTACACCGTTTTGGGGATTTCAACGCCGCGGATCAACATGATTTCT